CCCCAAAACCCCAAAACCCCAAAACCCCAAAACCCCAAAGGATTGATTGTAACTAATTTTATTTATAGAAAAAAAAAGTATAATAAAACATATATAAGCACATTATTATGGCGGATCCGAGTTCTAAGTATAAAAAGAAGCACACTCTCTCACCCATGAATCAATCGTTACTAAATAATGACCATTATACTCACTCCGTTTAAAACGATGACAACTATAATCAGTTTGAAGAAGATAACGATACCGAGTACCTACTAAAAGACCATTAGAGAAAAATGATTAGAAATCAAAAGACGGTGGTATACTCCAAGAATGATTCTACCAATTTGTTTTAAACATAGACAATTTTATCTCGGGGAGATTCTGAAAAAGAGATACTAGACCAGGAGTAGTCCTATGTGTTGATAACAAGAGAACTAATAAGTATGGGATTTCCGTATGAATAAGTGTAGAAACTGCTGTCAGTGCATAAAATTAATAATATCAATATCGCTGTTTGGTATCTAACTAAAGATGAAAAGGGCAGATATAGACATTATTTTACTCCTCATCAAGATAATCAAGAAATTTGCTTTATTTGCCAGGAGTCTATAAGTTCCCACTTTGATAAAAATCCCAATCCTTAATTTAGAAAATTAAGCTATGCCTAATTAGCCTCACAAGGATTACTTTAAAATGAGGATTAGAAATAAGATCATTAAGAGTAAGATAATTTTGAAGATCAGTAGACTTTCAAATCTAAAACTGATAACGTCTCCATTAATCATCAGTCTTCAAGTCTAGACAATGCGAATTAGAAGTCATATCAACCACTTCATACTGAGCAATCAGAAATGTTTTGTACTATTTGCTATTGTGACCTGGTACAATCAGAATTCATTTAAATCAATGGATGCCAACATTAGTTTTGCAAGGATTGTGTGATCGGTTATTTGGATAATTTGATATCAACAAGACAAATCTTTAAATTAATCTGTCCATAGCATGGCTGTGGAAATCCAATAAAATTCAGTCTCATTGAAAGTATTCTCAATGAGGAATAGCTATAGAAGTATAAGGAATTTAAATAAGATCTAGAGATTATGAAAGATAAAAATATGGGATACTGCCCGAATCACCTCTGCAATCAAGTTACTAAGCATGATAAAACTAAAATGAAATCAAATATTTGTGAACATTGCAGGTACATTTTTTGTGGCAAATGCTAAATTAAATGGTCAAGACACATTGATAAGAAGTGTGAGGATCTTCTAGAAGAAGAGCTTGGTGATTGGTTCAAGAATACTGACTTCTAAAATTGTCCTAAATGTAGAGTGAGAGTTGAAAAGGTTTCTGGCTGCAATCATATGACTTGTGCTCAATGCTCATTTAAATGGTGTTGGATTTGTGGTGCTTCAGCTGGATATGGACACTTCTTACCATTTAATCCCTTTGGATGTCCTGGTATGCTATGTAAGTTTTATTCCTTAAATGAAATTATTAATAGATTCCCCGTCTAGAAGGGCTTCATTATTGTGCATTATGATACTTAACTTTTTATTCCTGCCTCTTGTAATGCTTGTCCTTACTTTGTTTTTCATTGGTATCGGAGGATTCTACACTTAATTCAGTATCAATAAGACCTGCTGTAGTATAACGAAGTACTCTTTTAGATCAACAAATTGTTTCTTTAAATTATTGATTGTTCTTTTCAATGTTGTGGAAGCAACCTTGACTATATCAATAATAGTTGTTATTTCAGTATTCCTATTAGCAATATCTATAGTGCCAGCATATGTGTTCTAATTCTATAAAATCATTAAAATCATCAGCTTGTGGATATTTAAAACTAATGATCGAAAAAACTTGGATATCTCAAAAAAATAGCATAATCAAAATGATGATGAAAATTCTCTCTACGAATAAGAAGTCTGAAATTTATATCTAGATTAAAAATGAGAAAGTTAGTGAATGGAAATATATAATTGCAGTGATACTGTAAGAAGATTATAAAATGGTATTAATATATTTGAAGAAATAATATTTGAAATCAACATTAATGTTAGGGGTTTTGGGGTTTTGGGGTTTTGGGGTTTTGGGG